TATATATATATATATATATATATATATATATATATATATATATATATGTTTGGGTCATGGTTGAGCTGGCTCTAAATGACGCGTGGCCGCCCAGTCACCTTAGCCACGTCGACACCGCCCAACCAGTTTCGCGGCATATATCGACTCCATACCATAACCGCGCTGCCCCTCACCTTATACTCTTAGCCACGTCACGTGAATAAGCAAGACCAAGAAACAAAAGAAGGAACGAGGACAACTCCACTGAGGATTAGGACTATCCCAAAGACCTCGGCAGTTAACCTCATCTTGGCAACCCCGGAAGCCTAATCTGACCAGGACACGGACCTTCGGCTATAAAAAGGTATCTCCCTCTCAAGGTAAGGGATTCCAACTTCTAGCACTCATACTATTCCCTTGCTCGGACAAACACTCTCATTGCTCAGCCTGACCATCCACCACCTTCTACTGACTTGAGCATCGAAGTGCCTACCCAGGGATAACTCCTTGGGCCTCTAACTTCTTTTCTTGATCACAGGTCTTGAAGCACGGCTCCGTCCTTCCACCTTGACTCCGCCCTGTTGGCAATGATTATCTGATTGTAACCTTGGTTCGTGCACCACCTCGAGTCGAGCAGCGTCAATATATATATAATAAAGTTATAAAAAATAATATATATAATAAAAATATTATAATTTTTAATTTTTAAATATCAAATACAAAATATTTTTTATAAATAATTTTTTATTTTTATAAAACATTTTTTTTTAAATCGAACTCGAACTGAGTCGAGTTCAATTTCAATGTTCTAGCTCAAACCAAGCTCGAGCCTTGTACAACCTTGGCGGCTTGGCTCGGCTCGAATCCACCCCAACTGTTATCTTAAACCCATTGGAAAACTGGGTTCCAACTACCTTGAAACTTGGTATCCCCCTAAAATTAGGTACTTTGTGTGGAAAACCTGTTATAACAGTTTGGCTGTCAAAGAGGTTCTAGTAAAAAAGGGATAGGTGTAGAGGTTGTTTGTCCTCTATGTGAAGAAGCAGATGAGAACATTATGCATGCTCTCTTTCTCTGTGACCATGCACGGGTTTAAGTTGTTTGGTTTGGAAGTAGATTAAATGTAACAACCTCCAATAGGCTAGTGTTTAACTCCTTTGAGAGTTGGTGGTCATGGTGGTTGAATCAGAACACCTCTGTTGGAAATGATGGATTCCAATCAATTTCTTACTCCGTGTGCTTGATGTGGTTCATTTGGAAGGCTAGAAATAATTTCGTTTTCAATGAAATTAAGCCTAATCCATCTTTATCTATCATATGTGCAAGCAGGCTGATGGAGGAAGTGAAGACAACTTCCCATCCAGAATCAATACTGTTCTCAGATTAATGTTGCTCCGAATCCTACACCTGTAGGTCAGATGCCAGCCTCTTGTTGCAAAGCTTCTTTAGATGGTAGTTTCTCTGGTTCAGGTTCTAGTGGTTATGGTTTCCTATTACTTTCTAGCTCGGACTCTTTTTTGGCAGCAAGGTGTGGACCTTGTAGGGCTATGTCAACTAAATTTGCTGAACTCTATGCTATTTTGGAATGTTGCTTGATAGTTAACCGTTTGAATTTTTTTAAATGTGTGGCTTGAATCTGACTCTAGCATTGTTGTTAAGATTATTAATGAAAGATCTTTCGAGTGCCCACAGGTGTTGTGGCCTTTATTACATGATATGTTTGCTCTGATAGGCCCAGATTCAAAGTTCTTCCATGTTAGTCGTGAAAAGGTTCAGGCAGCCCATGTTCTAGCTGCAAAAGGTAAAAGGGGTCTGAGTGCAGGATGGAGCATAGAAACCGTTCCATTTAGCTATGTTAGTTTCTAGAGAAGGGTGTAGAACATAGAGACCATTCTCCAGTTCCCCGCATGCGATGAATTTA